GCCGGGCATGGCTGTGCACTCCTATAATCCCAGGTAGCCACCGGCTGTGCACTCCTATAATCCCAGGTAGCCAGGGGGCTGAGACAGGAAGATCGCTTGGGCCCAGTGAGCTATGATCAGGTCACTGCACCCCAGACTGGGCAACAAAACAAGACCCTGTCAATCAATCGATCAATCAACAAACCAGCCAACAGAAAATTTAAATAATCAGTGATTATCATCCCTAGGTCATTTGAAAACCCCAACAGTAAAGCAGTAACTCTCAAGGCCAGCAGCTTCTTGCAGAAAGCAGAGGTACAAACGTCACCCAAACCACACAAGGGAACGCTTGAGTGAGGACGTGCCACAGAGGCTCTCAAGTGACGCCACGCTGAAAATGAATGTGTTGACAACCAACCAGTCATGAGCTGCTTGAGCACAGGGACACTTTCTGAGAAATGTGTCGGCAGGCCATTTCGTCGCCGTGTGAACGCTGGCGTGTACTTACGCAGACCTAGATGGTAGAGCCTGCTGCATGCCTAGGCTGTGTAGTACAGCCTATTGCTCCTGGGCTACAAATCTGAATAGCATGCAACTACTAAATACTGTAGGCAGCTGAAACACTGTGGTAAGTATTTACGTATCAAAACATATCTAAACACAGAAAAACACAGTAATAACAATTCCCAACTGACTCATGGCTGAAACAGTAAAACAAGGAGAACTGAAGGCAAAGAGGCAAAATGACATCATGGCCCTATATGAACAAATGAGTAACATAGAGACAAAAAGGTGCCGTCCGCTGAATGCTGCGGCGGGCACACTCCCCTCAACTGGTGAGCCTCATGCCACACACTGGCTCCGATGGCCTCTCTGGGCCTCAGGACCCTCATCTATAAATAAAAGGACCAGGAAAATGAGGACTGCAGAGCTCTCCCACGCTGCATGCTTCCTACCATCCACTTCAGCTGGTATTTCTGGGAAACCTGCTATCAATCAATCAATCAATCAAGAGCATGGATTTACTCTTACGTAATGTGCCAATTACTTATCTTGCTGAAAAACGCACGTCTTTACAAACTAAAGGCCATTTTAAAGCTGTTCAGTCAATGATCTTACCCCACGGTTTCCCCAAGGGTGAAAGAGAAATAAGACTATCCGCTGACTTCAAAAATTAACATATTCCACTTTAAAAGAAATCCTCCCAAATAACGCAAAAGCTCCTACATTATAAAAATACATTTTCAGTGTACTAAAGCCACTGCCCTCCCCCTTTCTTGGT